TGGCGCTGGAGAAGGAAGGTGCTCGATTCCCTGAGTAAGATGCAACCAGCACAGAGCAGGGGAGTGTGGAGGGATGTGGAGCAAGTGCCTCTGTGCCCTGTCCCCTGCCCTGGCCAACTCCATCCTCCGCTCTGCCAGCCCCACCCTGAGCACAGACGACTCCGGAAGTCTGCCAATATCGTCTGCATCAAAACTCCTGTGAGGTTCATTAATCAGAGCTCCTTCTTGAGGCTTGCAAGTAAGGGCTCTGTGCGAGGCAGCACCCCACTTCAGGGTGCTCAAGCTCCCAGGCACGTGCCCCGTGCCCACACAAGGTGGGCAAGGACATGTGGCTACTGATGGAATTTTTTCCTGCCCGGGGTTTCAGTCGTTGGGGGACAGTAACTCAGGCGGTTCATCCCGCCCCGCGCTTCTCTGGTCTCCGCTTCTCTCCCCCGACCCGTGTGATTTGTTGGAGTCGTGGTAAGCAATAACCAAGGTTAGGCACTGTGCCCGATGCCAGGGGCAGGCGAGGCTGGGATGCGGACGGGTCTCCTGCATGCGCAGCTCGCCCCCTGCTGGGCGCAGATGTCATTGCACTCCCAGGCTGTTGGTGGGTAGCAGATCCTGCCACCTGCTCTTGGCTGGTGTCACGTTCCAAGAGGCCCTCCTAGGGAAGCGACTTGAGGGAGCAGAGATTCCCCAAGCGGCGTGTCTCAGGAACAAGAGAAACACTTTCAGTTTATTTGAAAGGCAGGCAGACACAAAAACATCTCCATCTACCATATGGGGTTCACGCCCCCCAAATTCTACAACAGTCAGGGCTGGGGCAGCTCCAAACCAGGAGCCCAGGCTCTGACTGGGGTCTCCTATGTGCGTGGCTCAAGGACTTGAGTCAGCACTTGTTGCCTCTCTGGCATATTAACAGGGAGCTGGGAATAGGACTAGGGGCGTCTAACCTGGGCCGCTGGTCCCAGTCCCGAGGAGCACCCCAACCTTTGTAGGAGGCATCTGCCTTGCACCTTGACCTTTCTGTGTCACAGAGGGTCAAGGACACTTGTGCCCCTGCAATGAAGCCTGGCCTCACAGTGCTGTGTGCAGCAGGTGCAAGTCCGGAGTGCACAGGCGAGCCTCGTCTTTGCTCTGTTGACTCTCATCCTCCCTGCTCTCCCGGAAGCTGGCTTGTGTGAATCCCTTTCCCCAACATTCCAAGCGATTCTGTAATCCCAGCTTGGTGTCCATAAATTTCACTGAGTGCAGGTACTACCCGCCTGGAGACAGCGTCACATCCCACGGACTAGATGCCAACACAGAAGATGTTATGCTGCCACCTACCTGTACCTCTTACAGCAGGACATACCCCACAAGATGTCCATTCTTCTACCAAGATCCTGGCTTGTGCAACCATTGATTCAAGAGGAATAACAGAGTTGGCACTAGGACAGATGGCTCGGGACCCTGGGTGTGCCTTGGAGGGGAGCTGTTCTTCCTTTCAATGTGGGCATGCAGGTGGGGGTGCTGGTAGGAACTGCACACCCCAAAAGAGGGTGCACAACTTCCTTCATGAGAGCAGGCAGCATGGACAGTCGGGCCTGGATGGCTTAGGAGCAGCTGGCAGGAGCCCAGGGCAGTAGGCACCTGGACAGGAGTGGGAGGTTGCTGGGGCTGCTGGGCCAGGCTCAAAAGTTCAAGTTTTGCATGGGAGGCACTGGCGGCTCCTGTAAGGATTGGAGACTGCACGCCGGCTCAGAACTACATCCTGCACATTCGAATCCATCTATAGGGTGGGAGAGGGCCTGGGGATGTGCCACCAGAGAATGGCCTGTGTGTGTGTGTGTGTGTGTGCTCAGGCCTGGCACAGACATACATGTGCAAAAACTGAGGGAGACCCTCCACCCTCTGGTTCATTGCCCAAGTGCTCAGGATGGCTGAGCGGAGCTGGACAGCAGCCAAGAGCCAGGGACTCAGTCCAGGTCTCCTATGTGGGTGGCAGGGACCCGCAGCCTGCAGATGCCCGCGGGGATCAGAAGTGGAGGACACAACACGTGTAAACATACAGAGAAAGACAAAAAAAAGCATATCTTCCATCTTCTGGTTAATTTCCCAAAATGGCCTCAATGGCCAGGTCAGACACAGCCTAGAGGCAGGAGCCAAAACTCCACGTAGATGTCCTCCATGGGGGACAGGACCCAAAGCACTTGGACCAAGTTTGCCCTGCCTTTCCAGGCTCACTAGCAGAGAGCTGGAGCAGAAGTGGTGGAGATGGGACTTGAACCCACGGACCTGTGCATTGCCAGCATCACAGGGTCTGCTCGTGTGGCATCTGCCGGGGCCACTGCCAGATCCAGGAGGACTTCCCCCAGGCTCTCTGGTCCCACGGCCTTGCTGCCTCCAGGCAGTAGGGTTTAGTTGTGGCTTCAGGCCTGGGGTCTGAGAGCAAGCACCTCCTGACGGGGCAACCTTAGGGCAAACCTCACCCGAAGGCAGACAAGGGATGCCCCAGTGGCCACCAGCAGTCACAGGGCCAAGCCCTGCCCACAGCTGCACCTTGGACAGCCCATTCCTGCTATGTTGTCGCCCTCCCGTGGCGGCTCGTGGTAATGCAGCCCTGGACCAGGGCCGGCCTGTAGGTTTAGGGCGAGGGGGTCAGCTCTGTGGCCAGGCTTCTCCCAGAGGCTGTAGGGAAAGAAGCCCCCCGGCTTCCTGGCTTCTGGTGGTGCGGGCCTTGACGTGGGGGTCTCCCCAGGGCTCTGCCCTTGCATCTATCGGTGGTCCGTTCTTGCCTTACAAGGGTGCTGGTTCTTGGGGTGTGGTCCCTTCTCACCCAGGTCCTCTCTCCTGAACTAACTCCATCCTCAGAGACGCCAGGCTGAGGTTCTGAGTGGACACGAATTTGGCAGGACCCTTAGCCAGCCCACAACCAGCCTAATGAACAAGAGCCCATTTGGACATCACTGTAATTCCACGATACCGATTAGGAAGGGGCTGTTTTTATCTTCTGTTCTTAAAATGTACGCACATGTTTGAAATGCAAGATCAATCTCTCTCCCCCTCTGCATCTGCTGATTTATTCCCCAAATACCTGCCACAGTCGGGAAGCAGCAGGCTAAAGGCAGGAGCCAGGGACTCCACGTAGATGTCCTCCATGGGGGACAGGACCCAAAGTACTTGGACCAAGTTTGCCCTGCCTTTCCAGGCTCACTAGCAGAGAGCTGGAGCAGAAGTGGTGGAGATGGGACTCGAACCCACGGACCTGTGCATTGCCAGCATCACAGGGTCTGCTCGTGTGGCATCTGCCGGGGCCACTGCCAGATCCAGGAGGACTTCCCCCAGGCTCTCTGGTCCCACGGCCTTGCTGCCTCCAGGCGGTAGGGTTTAGTTGTGGCTTCAGGCCTGGGGTCTGAGAGCAAGCACCTCCTGACGGGGCAACCTCAAGGCAAACCTCACCCGAAGGCAGACAAGGGATGCCCCAGTGGCCACCAGCAGTCACAGGGCCAAGCCCTGCCCACAGCTGCACCTTGGACAGCCCATTCCTGCTATGTTGTCGCCCTCCCGTGGCGGCTCGTGGTAATGCAGCCCTGGACCAGGGCCGGCCTGTAGGTTTAGGGCGAGGGGTCAGCTCTGTGGCCAGGCTTCTCCCAGAGGCTGTAGGGAAAGAAGCCCCCCGGCTTCCTGGCTTCTGGTGGTGCGGGCCTTGACGTGGGGGTCTCCCCAGGGCTCTGCCCTTGCATCTATCGGTGGTCCGTTCTTGCCTTACAAGGGTGCTGGTTCTTGGGGTGTGGTCCCTTCTCACCCAGGTCCTCTCTCCTGAACTAACTCCACCCTCAGAGACGCCAGGCTGAGGTTCTGAGTGGACACGAATTTGGCAGGACCCTTAGCCAGCCCACAACCAGCCTAATGAACAAGAGCCCATTTGGACATCACTGTAATTCCACGATACCGATTAGGAAGGGGCTGTTTTTATCTTCTGTTCTTAAAATGTACGCACATGTTTGAAATGCAAGATCAATCTCTCTCCCCCTCTGCATCTGCTGATTTATTCCCCAAATACCTGCCACAGTCGGGAAGCAGCAGGCTAAAGGCAGGAGCCAGGGACTCCACGTAGATGTCCTCCATGGGGGACAGGACCCAAAGCACTTGGACCAAGTTTGCCCTGCCTTTCCAGGCTCACTAGCAGAGAGCTGGAGCAGAAGTGGTGGAGATGGGACTCGAACCCACGGACCTGTGCATTGCCAGCATCACAGGGTCTGCTCGTGTGGCATCTGCCGGGGCCACTGCCAGATCCAGGAGGACTTCCCCCAGGCTCTCTGGTCCCACGGCCTTGCTGCCTCCAGGCGGTAGGGTTTAGTTGTGGCTTCAGGCCTGGGGTCTGAGAGCAAGCACCTCCTGACAGGGCAACCTCAAGGCAAACCTCACCCGAAGGCAGACAAGGGATGCCCCAGTGGCCACCAGCAGTCACAGGGCCAAGCCCTGCCCACAGCTGCACCTTGGACAGCCCATTCCTGCTATGTTGTCGCCCTCCCGTGGCGGCTCGTGGTAATGCAGCCCTGGACCAGGGCCGGCCTGTAGGTTTAGGGCGAGGGGGTCAGCTCTGTGGCCAGGCTTCTCCCAGAGGCTGTAGGGAAAGAAGCCCCCTGCCTTCCTGGCTTCTGGTGGTGCGGGCCTTGACGTGGGGGTCTCCCCAGGGCTCTGCCCTTGCATCTATCGGTGGTCCGTTCTTGCCTTACAAGGGTGCTGGTTCTTGGGGTGTGGTCCCTTCTCACCCAGGTCCTCTCTCTTGAACTAACTCCACCCTCAGAGACGCCAGGCTGAGGTTCTGAGTGGACACGAATTTGGCAGGACCCTTAGCCAGCCCACAACCAGCCTAATGAACAAGAGCCCATTTGGACATCACTGTAATTCCACGATACCGATTAGGAAGGGGCTGTTTTTATCTTCTGTTCTTAAAATGTACGCACATGTTTGAAATGCAAGATCAATCTCTCTCCCCCTCTGCATCTGCTGATTTATTCCCCAAATACCTGCCACAGTCGGGAAGCAGCAGGCTAGAGGCAGGAGCCGGGGACTCCACGTAGATGTCCTCCATGGGGGACAGGACCCAAAGCACTTGGACCAAGTTTGCCCTGCCTTTCCAGGCTCACTAGCAGAGAGCTGGAGCAGAAGTGGTGGAGATGGGACTCGAACCCACGGACCTGTGCATTGCCAGCATCACAGGGTCTGCTCGTGTGGCATCTGCCGGGGCCACTGCCAGATCCAGGAGGACTTCCCCCAGGCTCTCTGGTCCCACGGCCTTGCTGCCTCCAGGCGGTAGGGTTTAGTTGTGGCTTCAGGCCTGGGGTCTGAGAGCAAGCACCTCCTGACGGGGCAACCTTAAGGCAAACCTCACCCGAAGGCAGACAAGGGATGCCCCAGTGGCCACCAGCAGTCACAGGGCCAAGCCCTGCCCACAGCTGCACCTTGGACAGCCCATTCCTGCTATGTTGTCGCCCTCCCGTGGCGGCTCGTGGTAATGCAGCCCTGGACCAGGGCCGGCCTGTAGGTTTAGGGCGAGGGGTCAGCTCTGTGGCCAGGCTTCTCCCAGAGGCTGTAGGGAAAGAAGCCCCCGGCTTCCTGGCTTCTGGTGGTGCGGGCCTTGACGTGGGGGTCTCCCCAGGGCTCTGCCCTTGCATCTATCGGTGGTCCGTTCTTGCCTTACAAGGGTGCTGGTTCTTGGGGTGTGGTCCCTTCTCACCCAGGTCCTCTCTCCTGAACTAACTCCACCCTCAGAGACGCCAGGCTGAGGTTCTGAGTGGACACGAATTTGGCAGGACCCTTAGCCAGCCCACAACCAGCCTAATGAACAAGAGCCCATTTGGACATCACTGTAATTCCACGATACCGATTAGGAAGGGGCTGTTTTTATCTTCTGTTCTTAAAATGTACGCACATGTTTGAAATGCAAGATCAATCTCTCTCCCCCTCTGCATCTGCTGATTTATTCCCCAAATACCTGCCACAGTCGGGAAGCAGCAGGCTAAAGGCAGGAGCCAGGGACTCCACGTAGATGTCCTCCATGGGGGACAGGACCCAAAGCACTTGGACCAAGTTTGCCCTGCCTTTCCAGGCTCACTAGCAGAGAGCTGGAGCAGAAGTGGTGGAGATGGGACTCGAACCCACGGACCTGTGCATTGCCAGCATCACAGGGTCTGCTCGTGTGGCATCTGCCGGGGCCACTGCCAGATCCAGGAGGACTTCCCCCAGGCTCTCTGGTCCCACGGCCTTGCTGCCTCCAGGCGGTAGGGTTTAGTTGTGGCTTCAGGCCTGGGGTCTGAGAGCAAGCACCTCCTGACGGGGCAACCTCAAGGCAAACCTCACCCGAAGGCAGACAAGGGATGCCCCAGTGGCCACCAGCAGTCACAGGGCCAAGCCCTGCCCACAGCTGCACCTTGGACAGCCCATTCCTGCTATGTTGTCGCCCTCCCGTGGCGGTTCCTGGTAATGCAGCCCTGGACGAGGGTAGCGTGGGTATTTAGGCCTTGCCCGTTGTAGCACCCGAGACTGCTGCATTCTGGTCGTGCCATGCTGCCCTCTCTCGCTTCTAGAGCTCGTCCAGCATCCTTGAGCCCATCCCTGTGCCGTCGAAGGCCCGTCCTCTCTGCGCCTCTGGATCCCACGCCGCTCAATGCAGGCTGAGCCCCAGGGTGGATTCGCCTGGAGGGAGCTTGCAGTGGCGCACACTGACCACAAGGCGGCAGCATTTCTCGCAGATGCGCCTCCTCACCCAGCAGGTGTCTGTGTGTTCTGCCTGGAAACAAACTTCCAACTCCCCAAAGCAGGCTCCCCTTTGTGTCTCCTTGAAGCTGTACTTTCTGCTTCCTCGAGGGTGGGGAGTGGCGTTTTGGACGTGAGAGGATAAAGAAACCCTGATCCCAAATGGAGGGTTTGTGTTGGAACTCGGAGAGGGGAAGTGATCCGACAGAGCTCCGTCCCTTAAGACAGTTCTCGCCCTACAAGGCGGCTTCTTGGATGGATTCTTCCACTCTCATTGCACATTTGGGCTTCCCCCTCCTCCATGATGAATAGTTCTGCACGGAACATCCATGCAGGGGCTGGTGGCTGGTGTTGTGGTGTAATTGCTGCATTTTTAAAGATTTTCTTTTTTTAATAGCAGAATCAGATATGCAGAGAGGAGGAGAGACAGAGAGGAAGATTTTCTATCTGCTGATCCACTCCCTAAGTGATCACAACGGCCGGTGCTGCGCCAATCTGAAGCCAGGAGCTAAGAAGTTCCTCCAGGTGTCCCACGTGGGTGGCGAGGTCCCAAGGTTTTGACTGCTTTCCCGGGCCACTTGCAGGGAGCTGGACGGGAAGTGGGACAACTGGGACAAGGACTGGCACACAAATGGGATTAGCCATAACAGTGGCCCATTTGTATCTTTTTAAGGAACGTCCGTACACGTGTTTCTGGGCCATGGAGCACCCACGCTTTCCTGGTGGAGCTTCCTGGGTCACATGGCAGCTCCATGATGAACACTCTGAGGGCTTGTCACACTGTGCGCGCGACTTCTCCTCCTCCTTTTGGGAGAAACATCTTGAATTTTTCTCTTTATAAAATGGGCATCCCCATGGGACCATGGAGCGTAGGTCCCCTGGCACCCACCCTGATGCTGTGCCACACGTGTAGTCAGTGTGGCTGTCCCCACAGTTCCCTGCATGCTTAATTACTTATGAGAGGGTGCATAGCCTGAGAATGTATACACCCCCTTCGGGAAGGGCCATCATAAAAATATACTTAGAAAATTGATGTGGAACATAAATGGTGGAGGCTCCTGGAGGGTGAGTGTGGGTTTTACTGATGCTTGAGATGGTGAGCATGTGCGCTGGGCGCAGTGGCCTCCCTCCTTGAACTTGAGCTCCACGGGGAGGAATGTCAGGGCTCTCACAGGCTCCTGGGGCTGTTGGTTCTCCCCAGAGGGAGACTGCCCACATGCACCTGCTATTGGCACACTTGCGAAGATGGCAGCTACTTCTTGAAGTTGCTAATGGTTTATTTGAACACTAAAGCTGGAGCGAAAAAGTAGTGATTGCAAATCATTCAGTGATTACTGAAAACAGCTCTCATTAATCACAGTTCCACAGCTTGTTATTATTTTTGTTTTTCGTGTAGGTGTCTTGGGAATGCTTCACCAACCTAACCCCGTAGCATGCTCACACCGACCCCTGTGGTCTGGCCCCACTGTGAGCGATGTCACCATTCTGTACAGGAAATGGGTGTTTCCCATCTGGGGCAGCTCAGACAATGCCAGAAGGGAACAGCCAATGCGACACCTTCACACGAGTGTGCGATTCATTCAGGTGGTTAAGTTCCTAGGAGCGGGAGCGATGGCTTGAAGGAGGGAGCCCCATGCCCGTTTCTTGGCCATTCACCGATTCCCCTGCCTGGGGTGGTGCTAACTGGCTTTCCTTATAGGCTGGTTTCCCTGCAAGCCCCAGCATGCAGCACTAATTTCTGTGTGGGCTCTGTGACTCAGATTTTCCTTTGGGGGGAATAAGGCGAACTTTTTATCTACTTGTGTTGTCTTTTCCGTTCAACTCTCTGTTCATCTCTTCTGCTGTTTTCCTCTTCGATGGAATGATGGGGTTTTTCATGATCCATTTGCTGGAATACTTGATAAGCCGGGGGTCCGGCCTTTGTAATGATCAAAGCTCTGATACTTGCCAATCTGATAGGCTGAGTCTCTTGTATCTGGAATCTATTGCCGTCTGCACCGTGGCGCCCACATCTCTGGATTTAACCAACTGTGGATACACAGAGCCATGCATTACACACATATGTAAAGGCATTGCATGGGCGCTGAATGTCCAGACTTTTTTTTTTTAATTATCATGCTTCCCTAAAGAATGCGGCGTAACAACTCTTTCCACGTCTTTTTCATTGTGGCAACTATGGAAAGTCAGTGGTGCCACCGTGTACCATGCCTTCCAGCGTTTCCGGCTCATCACACTCTGTCCTGGGGATTATGCCCGGTGCGTACACCAGGGGGCGTCCTTGCAGGCTGCTGTCCATGGGGCTCCGGTGCAGCTCACCTCCTGGTGGCCAAGTCCCCCGAGGTCCCCCAAATCCCCGGAGGTCCCCAAGTTCCCCTAGGCTGGGTAGCAGAAAACAACCCACCCGGATGCTGGCCAGGCTTGCCGGGACTCGATTCTCCCTGCTTGTTCCTCCAAGCAGCAGTGTGCCTGGAGCAGGACGCGGGCAGGGTCCATCTGCTGCTGGCCGCTGCCATCATTTAGCACTGCATTCCGCCTCCCAGTTCTCTATAGCAACGCCTCCACATGGCCTGAGTTCAGAATTCACCCTTACGGATTCTGTGGCTTTTCTTGACTTTTGCCTAATGTGTTTGCAGTTGTAAACAACCCGCTGTTTTGTATTCCTGAACTTTTGCCAGTGGCTTCTAGTTGTTGGCACTGCTCCGCAGTGGTCACAGCTGAGAACAGCTCTGACTCGAGCTCAGCATTTCCTTGCCGATCGCTCCCCTCACACAATCCTTGACTTCCTGTCCTCCGTGGGGACACTTTGTTTTTTTTCCTTTCTACCTTTTCTTAGTCGGAAAACCTCCTGGAGAACAATCTCTTTGGTGCCCAGTTCCAAACCGAGAGAGTTGTTCTAAAGCCCCCGAAGGAAGCCAAGAGCTAGGTGTTCTTGAAGCTCAGGGTACTGTGCTGTCCACTGGGGTCAGTGCATGTGGCTACTTCAAGTTAAGTGGATTCCAATTCTGTCCGATTACACATTCCAGCTGCACATTTGCACCTTCCACATTAAAAAAAAGATTTATTTATTTTTATTGGAAAGGCAGATATACAGAGAGGAGGAGAAGCAGAGAGGAAGATCTTCTGTCTGATGGTTCACTCCCCAAACGGCCGCAATGGTTGGAGCTGTGCCAATCTGAAACCAGGAGCCAGCAGCTTCCTCCAGGTCTCCCATGCAGTGCAGGGTCCCATGTCTTTGGGCCATCTTCGATTGCTTTCCCAGGCCACATGCAGGGAGCTGGATGGGAAGCAGGGCTGCTGGGATTAGAACCGGTGGCCATATGGGGTCCCAGCACGTTC